TCGCCAGGATCGATCCGGCTGCCATGGTGCACGCGGGCCACGTGCGCAAAGCGTTGCCCTGGGCTCTTGGTAGCTCCGCTACCAGTGCGAGAACGCACTGGCAGACGGCGAAGATATTTTGCTGCTCATGGCTTGAGCCATCAGTGATGGCGGTCGGCTGCGTCTGATGCCAACTGCTTCGGGCCTTTCAGACCCGGATTCATGTGGCTTCATCTACGGAATTCACACCGAGTTTTAAGGGCTCAGTGTATGCTTCGGTTTTTTTGCTCTGGCCGTACCAGCTGGCCCGTGGGCCCGTGGCCCCCATCCCATGTAAAAAATGGCTGCTGGACGGTCCTCGATGGTCGGCGGCACTGGCGGGCAGGGAGGTCTGCAAGGACCGAGCATTTTTTTAAGCTGGGTCGTCCCGGGAATAGCCTTGCTAGCCGGCCTTCTGCGAAGCAGAATTGGGCCGGACGCCAGTGCCGCGCTTCTGCCTGCGCTGCCCGCCCATGGGCGCAGCCCCTTCGGGCAGCGCGAGGTCCCCAAGGACCGATAAATCCGGGTCGTCCGCAGAAGTGGGCCGGACGCCAGTGCCGCCGACCCCCGCGTGCCGCCAGTGAACGGTTTTTTCTTTTTTTTTCTTCGTGGTTTTTCGCGTCGCCACGGAGGCCCCCAGAGGGCGCGCATCATGAGCGGGTCCAGCCCGAGACCCCAGACGCGCATCAGGAGCATCAGGCGGCTCCCGGGGCGGGACTTCGGGGGCGCTGATGCCTCCAAAGGGCGGGCATAAGCGACGTGTCTCAGCCCGGGGCTAGGAAAAAGGGAGCTTAGGGGCCTTGTAAAGTGCTTAGAAACTTTAAGGGAGTCTAGGAGCCTCAAACGCTTAGAGATTTGAAGGGAGTTTAGGGGCCTGAAAATGCTTAGAAACATTAAGGGAGTTCAGGAGCCTCAAACGCTTAGAGATTTTAAGGGAGTTTAGGGGCCTCAAAATGCTTAGAATAGAAATTATGCCGGCGAAGACCCCAAACAGTAAGATTGCAGATCAAGGGAAAGCGGCATGAAGCAATAACGCGACGCGTAGAATTCGGCAGGCCGAGTTTACAATCAGAAAAATTGGGCTCAGTATGGAGGCGTGGGTTTCAGGCTTCTCTTTGGAGCTGCCAGGGGTCGGAACAACCCTTTCCCAATCCAAACGATGGATTGACATGGAGCGCCTACATGCATTTTGCTAAGCCTGAAAAATGCGTTTGGTCTTGCTTTCTACACGCAACGCCATGCTCTCTCTTTCTGTACTTTTTCAAAGGCGAAAACAGCTGAGTGCATTTAGGCACGCGCGAAAAATGCAGTTGTGCATTCGCCTCTTTTGTACGCAGCTTGTCTTTACGACGAAAGATCAGTGGTTAACTCAATGTTATTGTGGTTGTGGAAGGAGCAAGCTGCGCGAATGCATTCTGCCCACTTTGAAAAATGCACCTGAGCATGTTCTTCCTGATTCTGGGTCTGTTTCGGCACTCCTGCAAAATGTCGAGCATTGTTCTAAACACGTTTTTCAATTCCTACAGCTTTTATGCACAGAAAACACATCAGAAGAATCGAACACGTCATGAGCCAGCAGAAACCAAGACTAAACATGATAGGAAACCAGTGCCAAATGCATTCTTCGGGCGACGAAAAATGCATTTGGAATGCCCTAGAAATGCATGTCGGGTAGATGTTGGTCGTAAAACACCAATCTATTCTTTTTGTTGTTTTCGTTTGTTTTTCATGCCGTAATGGAGCAAACCGAATAGACTGGAAGACCAGATGCTGCCGAATGCATTTTGCCAGGCCTGAACAACGCATTTGGTCTTGCTTTCCACATGTGCAACGCCGCGTGCTCTTTCTGCACTTTTTCAAAGCGAAAACAGCTGAATGCATTTGGGCACAGGCAAGAAATGCATTCGGACTTTGGTTTCTTCCGTACGGGGCCTCTGTCTTTGACACAAAAGTCAGCTATCAAGCGAGTTTTTTTATTGTGGTTTTGGAAGGAGCAAGCTGCGCGAATGCATTTTGCCTGCCTCGCAAAAATGCATCTGGGCATGTTGCTTCTGATTTTCGGCCCCTTTTCGGGATTTTTGCGAAACGGTGATTATGGTTCTAAACGCGTTCAAATCGAATTTATAGATGTTCTTACGCGCAGAAAGACATGAAATTTCAGCGGCAGAACCCAAGATTGCAACATGATAGGAAACCAGTGTCAAATGCGTTTTCGGGCGACGAAAAATGCATGTGGAATGCCCTCAGATGCACGTCGGGGAAATGTTGGTCGTAAAATACCAGCAGACATGGATGTCCAAGCGCTGCCCGAATGCATTTTGCCAGGCCTAAAAAACGCATTTGGTCTTGCTTTCCACATTTGCAACGCCGTGCTCTCTTTGTGCATGGTCGGAGACCATGGGAGACCACGAATCCAAGCGCGTGACACCCTCTCAACCCCTGTCGCTCATGATCGGAGATCGCGCGAGACCACGGACCCGGACCGCGTGACACCCGCCTGCCCCGTTGCGCTCATGATCGGAGACCGTGGGAGACCGCGGGCCCACACGTGCGAAGCCTGTAGCTCACCACGGCGGCCCCATTGCGCTCATGATCGGAGATGTTGGGAGACCACGAACCCAAGCGCGTGACACCCTCTCAACCCCTGCCCTGTCGCTCATGATCGGACACCGTGACAGACCGCGACCGGACCGCGTGACGCCCGCCCAGCCTGCTCAGAGACCATGGGAGACCACGGACCCAAGCGCGTGACACCCTCCGATGATCCATGGGAGACCGTCAAGCGCGTGACACCCTCCAACCCCTGCCACTCACAACCGCGCGACGCTCGGCCGGCCCCGTTGCGCTCATGATAGGAGACCATGCGAGACCACGAATCCAAGCGCGTGACACCCTCTCAACCCCTGTCGCTCATTATCAGAGATCATGGGAGACCACGGAGCCGGATCAGCCCCATTGGGCTCACGATGGGAGTAGCCGGGAAACCGCGAACCCAGCGCGTGACACCCTCCCAAGCTTGTTGCTCATGATCGGAGTCCATGGGAAACCACGGACAACTGCGCTCATGATCGGAGACCACGGAAATCCACAAACCCAAGCGCGACACCCTCCCAACCCCTGTCGCTCATGATCGGAGACATTGAAGATCACGGAGCCGGGCCGCGTGACGCCCGCCAGCCCCATGATCGGACCACGGGAGACCATGAACCCGGACCGCGTGACACCCGCCGAGATTGCGCTCGCGCCACCACGGACCCGAACCGCGCGACACCCGTCTGGCCCCATTGCGCTCATGGTCGGAGACCACGGGAGACCACGAATCCAAGCGCGTGAAACCCTCTCATGACACCCGCCCGCGACCACAGGCCCGAGCGCGTGACACCCGCCTGGCTCATGATCGGATGGGAGACCACAGGCCCGAAGCGCGTGACACCCACCCGGCCCCAATTGGCCCCAATTGTGCTCATGATCGGAGACCATGGGAGATCACAGGCCCGAAGCACGTGACACCCACCCGGCCCCAATTGGCCCCAATTGTGCTCATGGTCGGAGACCATGGGAGACCGCAGGCGCGAGCGCATGACACCCGCCCGGCCCCAATGGCCCAATTGTGTTCATGATCGGAGACCATGGGAGACCACAGGCCCGAAGCGCGTGACACCCATCTGGCCAAGCGCGTGACACCATTTTTTCTGAGGAGGGACCCCAAACGGTTCCTGTTTGGGGAAAAACTTCAAGGGAGTTTAGGAGCCTCCAACGCTTAGAGAAACCCCAACCCTGTGACGAATCTGCTCGCCCCGCGCTTCTGCCTGCGCTGCCCGCCCATGGGCGCAGCCCCTTAAAATCCGGCCTGGCCGTCGTGGTCCAGTGCGGAGCACGGCTACTTGTCTTCTTCTTTGTTTTTATTGTTTTTCTTCCTCTTCTTTCTCTTCTTCTTTTTCTTATTTTTCTTCCTCTTGTTATTATTCTTTCTTTTCTTCTATTTTCATTTTTTCTTCTTCTTTCCTTTATTATTCTTCTGCTTCTTCTTCTTTATATTTTCTTCTTCTTTTCATTCTTCTTTATTTTATTATTCTCCTGTTTCTTCTTCTTTTCTTCTTATGATTCTTTCTCTTCTTCTTCTTCTTTTTATTCCTTTACCCTTTCTTCTTGTTATTATTATTTCGTTTCTTTTCTTCTTCTTCTTTTTATCATTCTGTTTCTTCTTATTTTTCTTCTTCTTGTTCTTCTTCTTTTTCTTCTTCTTTATGTCTTCTTTTTCTTCCTTTACCCTGTCTTCTTGTTATTATTCTTTCTCTTCTTTTCTTCTTCTTCTATTAATTATTCTTTCTTTTCTTCTGCTTCTGTTTCTTCTTCTTTCTCGTCTTCTTTCTTTTCTTCTTCTTTTTCTGCTTCTTCTTCATTTTCTTCTTCTTCTTCTTCTTCTTCTTCTTCTTCTTCTTCTTCTTCTTCTTCTTCTTCTTCTTTCTCTTCTTCTTATTTTTTCCAACCCCTAAACCCAAACCCGAGTTTCAGCTTTCAGAATGCCAGGCCGGCCCGTGCCGCAAGGCCTGTAGATTTAAATTGTTTGAATTATTACTTGGATGAAGGCACAAAATGTGGGTGCGGCACATCGCCATACGAATTATCCTCAAGCAGAGGTCCATATGGCACGGACCACAAACCCAGCCTAACAACTCAACGAGAGCGGCGCCAGGGAACAAATTATTTAATTCCTGCCCCCCCCCCCACCCCCCAGAAACCCAAATAGGGTTTATTTGGAAGCTCCCGTGTGTGTTCTTGGGCAAATCCCGAGCCGTAGCTTCCAAATAAACCCTATTTAAGCTGCACGCGGGGGGGGGGCGGGGGGCACATTGTGAGAGAGGAACAGAGCAAACAGAGAGAAGTGATTGAGAGAAGTGATTGAGAGAGAAGTGAGAAAGAGAAATATAAGAGAGAGAGAGAGAGAGAGAAAAAAAAAATTGACTGCTCTCTCCTACGGCCTCTGCGAGGAGCCAGAGGCCATAGGTTGGGGAGAAGTACTCCACGCGATCTCCGTCGGCATAGGCCGGCAGCGCCTCGCAGCGAAGCAGCGAGGCAAAAACACAAAAAACGAGGAAGAGCGCAGCGAGCCCTTATGGTTACGTATGTATATAAATAGAGATGATGTCATCCCATTTTACTGTATACCACGGAAACAAGGCGCGCCAATGCCCGAACGGTGCTGCGCTTGTTTTTGCGTTGTGTTTCAGTGACTCATTGGGTGGAGACCGTTGATCATAAACACCTGCATGTTGAATTCTTCTGCAAAGAAGACTGTCGCGGCAACAAGTGGTCGAAGAAGAAGAAGAAGAGGAGGAGAATAGACTCGGATCCCTCAGAAGATGCTGCCTCACTGTAAAGGATAGGAAGTGTTAGCTGTTAGAGGGCGTCGTGTCGTATATTATGATATTATGCGGAGGGGGTGTATGCACGCAAAAGCTGCGCATCATCTCGAAGGGGTGTGGAAAGGATGGACGCAAAAAACAACACGCCAAGAGAAGACGCGCTTAGAGTGCTTAGAGTGCTTAGAGTGCTTGGAGGCCTTCTGATCCTTCTGGGACCTTGTGAGCCCAGGCCTCGCATGCCTCGCATGCCTCGCATGCCGCCGGCTCCCAGGCACCTTCTGGCCATGTCATCCCGAAGCCAACCTTCAGTGCATGAATGTGCTGCATATGCGCTGCAGAATCGATGTGCAACATGCGGAACGAGATGAAACTCAAGCATCCAAGTCATGTCAAGATGTCACATGTCGGAGAAAGTCCGCAGACAGGGTACCTTGCTCAAGGCTTTGGCTCTACAGACGAGGTCGCATCAAAGGCAGCTTGAGCTTTCTCCTTGGTCAACGCCTTTCCTTCCCAACAGAATTCTATAGATTAGAGTGATTATTGTATCTTGCTTCTCTCGGGTGCAAATGCGAGGCACCCTTGAAGCCTCAAAGCCTTTTGGACTGCTGGAGACTGCAACACAGCGCAGCTAGAGTGCTAGATAGTGCTAGATACACGGAGCTCTCTTGCACTGCACCGAAGCTCCCGAGACACACGCCATGGCCGCCGCGGCCTCCATGGCCCCACTAGTCTCAAAAAGTGAGAGCAGAGCGGCCGTGGCCATGGAGGTCGGGGGCTCGGTGTCCACCTCTCCTCCTCGTTCGTGTGCGACCTCTCAAAAAGGCAGAGAGAGAGAGAGAGAGAGAGAGAGAGAAGCAGAGAGAGAACACACGAAGCCCCCCACCACTTGAAAAGAATTGAACTCATTAGAGCTCTTCTTGCAACTGTTTTTCTCTGCACAAACTTTGGAAAAGCCCTCGCCTCTCCGCCTCCGCAATCTCCGCCTTCCAGGTCCTCTGCTACAAATCAGAATAGACGGGCACATATCGCGAGACCATCTGGTGACCATCTGGTGACCATCTGACACTCAGCGAACCCCACACAACAAAGACAACAAGCTCCTGCGTCTGGCCTGGTGTCGTCCTGGCAAGGGTTGCATAGCTCTCCATGAAGAGCAACCTCTTTGCACCCCAGCTCCTGGAGGGTGGATCACAGTTTAGCCAGCTCTGAACCTTTAAAAGGTTCAGCTTCCAGACCTCGGAGTGACAGCTCGGCTCGCTGAAACAACACAAGCAACAGCCTGCAAGAGCCCGCTGCGCTCCCTCAGCTCCCTCCATAAGCTCCCGGCGACGCGGACCTTTGCTTTGGCCCGCGTCCAACGGGACAGTGCAGACCTCATCGACTTTATCGAGTAGCCGCTGGCCATCTTTGGCAGCTCCCTAGAGCCTCAGAAGACCCGGAGCAACGTGAACCATGCACATCACTCGTGGCCTATTTACAGACGCCGCACGATTCTGCTCACATGCTTGGTGTGCCTCGAAACCTTGGAGTAGGCCAGCAAGGTCGTCGTCAGGATCAGCGTAACCAAGCATGGTGATGGTGGGAAAAAGTAGCATCGCTCACGGCCGGCAGGACATGAACAGCTTTAAACAGTGCTGCAAGCTGACCGCAACAGAGAGAAACCCGTAACCGACATGAGGCCACGCACCAACATGGGGCCATGCCTTCTCTCAGAGCCTCCCACAGTATGCTGCTACTGAGGCCCCGAACACCCCGAACTATAAGAGAGGTTGCCCGGTGCGTGGCGCCCAGCAGCACCCACTTTCGCGTGAGGGAAGCTCCACGCTCCGGTCCCTTTCCGGCAGCAAATGACCCCAAGAAGTTCGACGGCCCTGCACAGCCCCGCACATCCTCGGCCTTCCCCTGTGCTGTTGCTTACGTGGGGTAACTGGGGTAGGCCCGGGTAGGCGGGGTTGTCGCAGTAGGAGAGCTGGGCGACTCCATTGGTAAGGTGGCCAAGATGCACGTGCAGCGCAGGACCAGAAACAACCCCGCATACTATTGAGTAATTTTCAAGCCCCTCTTTCAACTTGAAATTTCTGAGCCCTTGCGCTCTGGAGTATGGAGGCCTGGGGGCGGTTTGGGGAGGTTGCACTTTGGCTCTCAATTGGCTCTTTCCGGCTCTTTCCGGGGGCGGTCAGAGTTTTGCTCTCAGAGATTTTCTCAAAATATCGGTGCGAAACTTCTGCTGCTGGCTATTGCTGGCCCTTTGCCTCTGCCCCCTTTAATGGCTTCGGCGGTTGCCTGCGGCCTACGGCTGCCTTCTGCCTACGGCTGCCTACGGCTGCCTACGCTCTCTTAGGCTGCGCTGTTGTTCTGATTGTGGGCTCTACAATGGGCGATGGTGAAGTTCACTGGATTCTTGGAGTTCATCTTGTTCCCGTAGCCTCAACCCATGTTATTCTTTATCAGTTGGCAGGTCCCTGCTTAGCACGTGCAGGGTGCCTCTCGGAGCATGTGTCGGTTTGCGCGTTTGTCGTCGAGACGCCCTCGGAAGGAGTCGGGGCCACGCCATCAGAATGTCATCTTTACGAGCACAGAGGAAGGCAGGAAGGCCCGGAAGGCCCGGAAGGCCCGGAAGGCGCGGAAGGCGCGGAAGGCACGGTCCGAAAGACAACCGATCAAGCGCCGCAGAATGCATCAGACTGCACAACTAAATCGAGAAAGAGCACAAGAGAAAGGAGCAAAGTGACTCTGCAAACCACCGCAAAACAAGAGATCAGTAAAGCATGGTGAATCAACAATTCTGTGAAGAACCTTGAAGAACCTCACAAGTGAGGGAAGGGAAGGAGAGGGGTCTCTGGGATCTCTTTGTCTTTGTGTCTTCGGAGGGGGGGGGAGCGGTCTGAGGTGGTCTGAGGTGGTCTGAGGTGGTCTGAGGTGGTCTGTGAGGTGGTGCCGGAGGCTCCCCAATTTAGCTTGCCAAACGCATAGCAAACCGTGGCAAAACGTAGCAGACTCTGAACATGTTCATGGATTCATCGACCCCCGTGACAGAGCTGAGGATGCTGGCCATCGGGGCTGTCAGACACCTGCCAAAAGAGCAAAAAACAAAAGAGAGCACGTCCCCAACACACACAACAGACCCTTTCTCAACAAACACACAGAGAGGCTCCGGGCTCTCTCTCCCTCTGCGCTCTCTGCTCTATCTTTCTCTCTCTCTCTCTCTCTCCCGTGTTTGTGTTGGTGAAAGCAAAAAAGAGAACTCTCCCCCCTCTCAGCAAACAAAAACCCTACTAGGTTACTAGGGGGCCTCAGACTTCGAAAGGGAAAGGCCGGAGTGCACGGCACTGAACCTGGGACCATGGCTCTCAATGGTTGCTCTCCAACACTCGACTAATCTCTGTGAGCAGGCCCTGGGGCGCCCCAGGTGCTGGGGCGCCAGGCGCATCCTCATGCGAGCGGGGGCTAGGAGCCTTGGGCAACCACGAGCTTCTTCATGTTGCGGTGCACTGCATCTCAAATGTCTATCTTTCTCACGACTGCAGCACGGGACGTATGCAAGCTAAGGCCCTGCAAAGAGGCTTCTGCGATGCAGCTCTGCTCTGCTGTGATTGCAAATGGCAAAGCAGCATCTGCACTGTCGAAGAGTCGAAATGAGTCATGCAGTCGTGCATGATCATTCGCGTCCCGAGCACGTAGCTGCCGAAACTGGAGTGCTGTTTCTACAGCGACAAACAGCCTCCATGATAAACATATGTAGTCGCATCCCCAGACGACCTCCTGCCTTGAAAAGCGCACAACTTTGGGGGACTGACAACAAAATCTCCCTGACAGTGGAGGCTGACAGGTGCGCACCTCACGAAGGCACGTGGTAAAGGAAAGGCTGACCCTCAGTACACTATGATGACTGTGATGTGATGACTATGACAATGCGAAGGGCGGCTTGACCCAAGCGGATGCCGATGCTGCAGAAGAACAGGGCGGAACATATGGTGGAACAACGCACCAGAATACGCAAAGGAACAGCTCGGTAAAGGGGCAGAATGTGGGTGGTATGTTTGGTGAGGATGTGGTGTGTGAGTTGCGGTGGAAATGTTTGTCATTGGCAATGAGTGCATTGCATGTGTTGCTCCAGCATTGTTCGACGACCGCAACAACTAGGTTGCACAATGCCGGGCTGGCGGGTGACCCCATCGGGGCCCCCCCCTCTGTTGTCTGATCAACGTGGAACCGAGTATGAAATAGTTCATGGCGAGGACCGCACTGATGAACATTGGAACGTCCTCCACGTGGATGGCGCGTTTTGTTGCTGACCCTGAGTGGGGTCCAACATCCGCGTGCGTAGATCGGAAGACTGGTGCATGACGGCTGTTGCTTTGCATGTGCCACGCGTACATCGGCCATTAGCTCATTGGCAAGAAACCTGTCGGCTGCCACTGAAGTCAAAAACCCAGCGAGATCCTGATGGTACAGAACGGTTCCTCGCGGCACTGAAATGCGTGGTGCAATGTGGTGCAGAATGTTGCTATGCTGTTGAGCTGGGTGGCGCCGTCACCGAGGTGAGCCTGTGGTACGCGGTCCCACGTTTGGAAGGCCCACAGGTGCCTGAACAGTGCTTTTCGGAGCCACAAGTGTCGTAGTGTGTAGGCAGCGGGCAGCGGTTGCTTGGAAAGCGGCTTCGGTGAAGGTGTTGGTGATGGTTTGGTGATACAGCGGCAGTACCACATCAATCTGTTGGGAAAGTGGTCTTCGCAGTCGATGATGCCATGCGACTGTCTTGGATGCTTTTGACAGCGTGAACTGACGCGCTGGTCGTGAAGCTGGAGCTGCTGCTGAACAAAGCTGCGGATCTGGGGGTCATCGTAGCTGCAGGGCGCCGAGGCGAGGGTCCTTTCGAAGGGAGTGTGTGGCAGGCAGAATGGTACTCTTGCCTGAATACGACAAGAACATGTGTTCAGGGCACAGCCATGATACCTGTGTGTGGCCACATGTTGTTGTTGCTGTTGTCGCGTAGTGACCACGATCTTTGGGCTGGTCTCCAGTTGTGTAACACCGCCTGTGTGGGTGTGTGCTTGCGGCATACAACTTTGGCGGAAGGTACATGTAGGGGGAAGATGCGTTGTTTGTGGCTTGACAATCGGCGTCGTAGAAATTGTCTGAAGTTGGCGGTGGCTGTGGGGTGCATTAATGGTATGGTGAGTAGTGGCTTGTTTGCTTTAGGCTGATGTAGCCGCCGTTTCTTGAAAAGCTTGCATAATGCAGGTTTTGCGGCGGGCGGCTGTCATGGAGCTTGCGTAGAGCATACAACACGCTGCTTTGTTTCCGTGAAAGGGATGGACGTTTGGAACAAAATGGGGTGAGTTTATAGTAGTTGTGGTGTTGTATGTGTTGTTGCCACCACCTGAGCGACAGCCCTGCAAGGACGATTTTGCCTTGCTGTTGTCAACCTGAATTTGCGGCTGCCATCTCTCGCGCTGCTGTCGGAATGACTGCTTCCCATGTAAATGAACCGCTTGTGTTGTCTGCTTGTGCCATCAGGGTAAAAGCTGTGAAAATGGAATACCTGCAGTAATCGTAGCAGGCCTGCAAGCCACAAACCAACTCGATACAAATGGTGAGACTCAGATTCAGCTGTTCAGGCAATAGCTTGCATTGGCCAAGTTGTACACATTCAACACCAGTGGAGAACACCTGCCTGGGCAGGGTGGTGTTGTGTGCCGACATGGCGGCGATGATGGCCACGAGCTTAAGCACAGCTGAGTCGTTGTATTTATGCAAGGTCTTGATGGGAAGTCCCCAGAAAGACATGTTTCATGATGGTGAGATGAAGGTTTTTCAAGACATGCCAAACGCAAGGAATGGCATGTGAAAACCTGATGACATGATGCATCATGAGGTAAGGTCCTGCCTCGCTGTACCAGACGCAGAGAAATGGTGCAGCACGAATTGAATGGAGGATGAAAACGAGCGTGAATGCCCCCCGGCTACTCTTGCAAGAGTCCAGGCGCAGACCGATGCAGGTACGTTTCACAGGGAAACAGGTGGGGCACAAGGTCTTCGTTGGCCAGCGCTTATGCTCACCAGCATGCTACCCCCGCTGGCCCCCTGCAGAATCGCAACGCATGTATAGTGTCAAAACATGTGGGAGTGACCCCGTTCACCCATGTTCAAGGGTGCTTCACACACACACACACACACACACACACACACACACACACCCACGCCCGCAAGCGCGCGCACGTGCGCGTGCTTGCACACACGCACTCACACGCACACGCACGCACACGTACGCACACGTGCGCGCCCGTACGCGCACGTACGCACACGCGCCGCACACGCAGACACAGACTCACGCAGACGCATACAGACGCATACAGACGCACACCGAGACACAGAGACGTAGATGCACACTGAGACACAGAG